GGGACACCACTACTCACAGGCCTCCAGTTCAACAAGCATCTTTCCACCATTACCCTGTGCTCTCTACCATCAAGCCAATTGTGTATCCAACTTGTCAACTCACCCTGGATTCCATGTGATCTAATCTTCCAGAGCAGCCTACCATGTGGAACCTTATCAAAGGCCTTACTGAAATCCATATAGACTATGTCTACTGCCCTGCCCTCATCAACCTTCCTGGTGACTTCATCAAAGAACTCTAACAAATTTGTGAGGCATGATCTCCCACGCACAAAGACATGCTGACTTTCTAATCAAACCCTGTCTTACTAAATGCATGTATAGACCTTATCCTTCAGAATCTTCTCAAGTAACTTACTGACCACAGGTGTTAGGCATACTGGACTATAATTCCCAGGTTTTTCTTTGCAGTCCTTCTTGAATAACGGCACAACATTTGCTACCGTCCAGTCTTCCAGGACCTCACCCGAGACTAACGATGATGCAAATATATTAGCCAGAGTGCCCGCAATTTCTTCTCTAGTCTCTTGCAGGGTTCTTGGATATATCTGGTCAGGACCAGGAGGTTTATCCACCTTCATACATTCTAATACACCTAACACAGGAGGTGAATATGGACTGTCTGCAAAATATTGCCCCCAATTTCCCCAGTCTTCATGTCCTTCTCTACAGTAAACACAGAGGAGAAATATTTATTGAGGACAAGCAAGAGAGAGATGGAGACTTGAAAGGAGACACAATGCAGCAGACAGAGGATTTGAAGAGAACTGAGAAAAGGACAGAATGAGAAACTGGAACAGGAGAGAGAGAAAACAAAACAACAGTTGAGACTCCATGGACTGCAGAATAAGCTCAAAGGGCTGAATGGTCTCTTCATGGTTCCATGTCCCCATCAAATAGACAAGAATCGAGCAGTGGAGTGGGAGAGAGGGAAAGAGAGACAGTGAGAAAGAAAGACAGTGAGAAAAAGACAGTGAGAAAGATGAATGAAACAGTGAGAGAAGGACAGAGAGAGAAAAACAGAGGATGTGAGAGAGACAGTGAGAGAAGGACAGAAAGAGAGAATGAGAGAGACACAATGTGACAGAAACAGAGGGAGACAGTGAGAGATAAAATGAAAAGACAGAGAAAGACATAGATGCATGGATAGAGACTGGGCAAACAGTGAAAGGAGAGAGAGAGAGAGACAGAGAGACTGTGAGAAATAGTGAGAGATAATCAGAGAGAGAGAGAGATAGTCAGAGAGAAATAGAGAGAAATTGGGAGAGATAGAGACAGAGAGACCATCAGAGAGATAGAAAAGAGTGTGGGAGATAGATTAATAGTGAAAAAGAAATGAAAAGAAGATGGAAGCTCTTGCAGGAATGTGTGAGTTGCTGAAGAATATTGGCAATGTGTCCCACCAAAACCTCACCAGTGGATGTTGACCCATAGCTTTAGCTCCTGCAGTGGACAATCACCCTGGAAAATCTAACAAAGGCCATAGAACCATAAACCTGTAAGACATAGAAGCAGCATCAGGCCATTCGGCCCATTGAATCTGCTCCACCATTTGATCATGGCTGATATGTGTCTGAACCCAGTTTTCCTGCCTTTTCCCCATAACCTTTGCTCCCCTTACTAATCAAGAACCTATCTATCTCTGTCTTAAATATACTCAATGACTTGACCTCCACAGTTCTGCAGCAATGAGTTTCACAGATTCACCACCCTCTAGCTGAAGAAATTCCTCCTCATCTCAGTTCTAAAGAATTGTTCCTTCACTCTGAGGCTGTGCCTTCAGGCCCTAGTCTCTCCTTCTAGTGGAAACACCTTTTCCACATCCACCTTATCCAGGTCACTCAGTATCCTGTAAGTTTCAATCAGATTCTCCCCTCATCCTTCTAAAATCCATCGAGTACAGATGCAGGGTCCTCAACTGCTCCTCATAATAAACCCTTCATCTCTGGGGTCATTCTTGTAAATCTCCTCTGGACTCCCTCCAAAGCCAGCACATCCTTCCTTAGAGATGGGGCCCAAAACTGTTCACGACATTCAAAATGTGATCTGACCAGAGCCTTATACAGCCTTAGTAGTACATCTCTACTCTGGTATTCTAACCCTCTTGAAATGAATGCTAACATTGCAATTGCCTACCTAGCTGCCAACTGAACCTGCATGTTAACCTTAAGAGAATCCTGAACAAGCCCCTTTGTGCTTCAGATTTCTGAAGCCTTTTCTCACTAAGAAAAATGTCTACAGCTCTACTCTTCCTACCATAGTGCATAACCTCACACTTTGCCACACTGTGTTCCGTCACTTCTTTGCTCATTCTCCTAGCCTGCCCAAGTCCTCTGCAGCCTCCCCACTTCCTCAACACTATCTGTCCCTCCACCTATCTTTGTGTCATCTGCTAACTTAGTGACAATACCCTCAGTTCCTTTCTTCAGATCATTAATGTATAATGTGAATAATTGTGATCTGAATACTGACCCCTGTAGAACTTCACTGGTCACCTGCTGCCATTCTGAAAAAGACTCCTTTATCCCCAATCTCTGTTTTCTGCCAGCCAGCCAATCCTCTCTCCAGGCCAGGACTTTACCTGTAACCTCATGGGCCCTTATCTTATTTAGCAGCCTCCTGTGCAGCACTTTGTGAAAGGCCTTCTGGAAATCCAAATAGATCAGGTCCACTGACTCTCCTTTGTCTAATTTGCTCATTACTTCCTCAAAGAATTCTAACAGATTTGTCAGGCATGACCTCCCCTTGATGAAGCTGTGCTGATTCCACCCTATTTTACCGTGCCCTTCCAAGTACTCCGCAATCTCATTCTCAATAATGGACTGTAAAATCTTACCAATGACCAAGGTCAGGCTAACTGGTCTATTGTTTCCTATCTTCTGTCTTCCTCCCTTCTAAAATGAGGGTGTAACATTTGCCATTTTCCAGTCCTCTGGGACTCTCCTGCCTCCAGTAATTCCTGAAAGATCACCACCAATACCTCCACAATCATTGTCACAGCTTTCAGCTTCCACAGCACCTTCTCCTTAGTGATGGCCACTACACTCACCTCTGCCCCTGACTCTCTTGAAGTTCTGATATACTGCTGATGCCTTCCCCTGTGAAAAGCTGATGCAAAGTACCTATTCAGTTCTTCCGCCATTTCTTTGTTCCCCATTACTACTTCTCCAGCCTCATTTCCCAGCGGTTCAGTGTGCATTCTTGCCTCTCTTTTACCTTTTATATGTTTGAAAAACATCTTGCAATCTCCTTTTGTATTACTAGCTAGCTTACTCGCATATGTCATCTTCTCCTCCTTTCCTCCTTATTGCTTTTTTAGTTACTTCTGCTAATTTTTAATGGCTTCCCACTAATCTTCACCATATTGTTTGCTTTTTCTTTTGTTTTTATGCTGTCCCTGACTTCCCTTGTCTGGTTCCCTCATCCTCCCTATAGTATGTTTCTTCTTCCTTGGGATGAATTTCTGCTGTGCCTCCTGGATTACCCACAGAAACTCCTGCCATTGCTGCTCCACCGTCTTCCCTGCTCAACTTCCCTTCCAACTAACCCTGGCCAGCTCCTCCCTCATGTCTTTGTAGCTACCTTTACTCAATTGTAATACAGTTACATTTGATTCCACCTTCTCCCTCTCATACTGCAGGGTGAATTCTATCATATTATGGTCACTGCCTCCTAGGGATTCCTTCATCTTAAACTCCCTAATCAAGTCTGTGTTATTACACATCTCCAAATCCAGAACTGTCTGTTCCCTGGTGGGCTCTACCACAAACTGCTCCAGAACAAAACATCTTGTAGACATTCCATAAATTTCTTTTCTTTGGTTCTGCTACTTAGTCTACCAGTATATTGAAGTCCCCCATGACTATTGTAATAGTGCCTTTCTTGCGTGGCTTTTCTATCTCTTGATTTATTTTCTTCCCCACGTCCTGACTACTGCTAGGAGGCCTATATATAACTCCATCAGCTGTTTTTTCCCTTTGTGGTTCATCAACTCTACCCACAACAGATTCTACTCCTTCTGCCTCTATATCACTCTCATTATAGATTTCATTTCTTGCTAACAAGGCAACCCTGCCCGCTCTGCCCATCTGCCTGTCCTTTTGACAGGATGTGAATCCTTGGATATTTAGTTCTCTACCCTGATCCCCTTGCAGAAACGTCTCTGTGATCCCCACAACGTCATACCTGCCAATTTCAATCTGTGCTACAAGCTCATTTCCCTTGTTTCGTAGGCTGTGTGCATTTAAGTACATCACCCTCAATCCTGCATCAACTGCCCCCCTTCTTATCGTGGTCCCTTTAACTGCTGTGCCTGAAGTTAGATTCCTGACCCTTTCTATACACTCTATCCTATTACTTATTCTGGAAACTTTAATAACATTTCCTGTGCCCTCCCTCACCTTTAATTTTTTCCATAATTTTCCATGCAACTGAACGCACCCTCTACCACACTCACTATTTGGTTTAAAGCCCTATCCACAGCCCTAGTTATGTGATTTGTTGGGACTCAGGTCCCAGCATGATTCGGGTGGAGTCCTTCCAATCAGAGTAGTCCCCTCTTTCCCTACATCCCATTTCTCCCACACCAATCTTTGAGCCACGCGTCGACCTCTTCAGTCTTGTTGACCCTGTGCCAATTTGCTCATGGCTCAGGTAGTAATCCTTCTTAATTTAACCCTTGCTGCTCATATTCCCTCAGCAGAACCTTTTTCCTCGTTGTAGCTATATCGTTGGTACTTATGTAGACCACAACAAATGGATCTTTCCCCTCCCACTCCAAGCTCCTCTGAAATCTAGATGAAATATCCTGAACCCAGGCACCAGGCAGACGACACAGCCTTCGGGACACTCGATCCTGGCCACAAGAACAGTGTCTATTCCTCTGACTATACTATCCCTGATTACAGACACATTTCTCTTTTCTCCCCCCTCTTGAATGGCTCCCTGTACCATGGTGCTATGGTCAGTTTACTCAAACTGCATTGTCCGTCATCCCTCACCTCCATCTTCCACCATCACCTCCATCAGGTGGGTCCCTCCTGCCGGGTCTCCCGACAGGAGAGTGACGTCCCCGGAGTCAGGATTCACCCAGAGCCATTCCACCGTCTCATTCCCAAGGCGGTACCTGCCAAACAGAGGACATATTTTCTAAGAGGATTTGACAAAGCAGAGAGTGAGAGGCTGATTCCCCGAGGCTGCACGCTCTACACCATTGCGCAGGGTCTCCAGAAAAGGATCGGGAAACTTGGATGGAGATGAGGACAACAGTCAGCGCTGAGGGAGAACCGAACTGTCAGAGGGTCAGTGCTGAGGGAGTGTCGCACTGTCAGAGGGTCAGTGCTGAGGGAGTGCTGCACTGTCGAAGGGTCAGTGCTGAGGGAGTGCCGCACTGTCAGAGGGTCAGTGCTGAGGGAGTGCCGCACTGTCGGAGGGTCAGTGCTGAGGGAGTGCTGCACTGTCGGAGGGTCAGTGCTGAGGGAACGCCGCACTGTCGGAGGGCCAATGCTGAGGGAGTGCCGCACTGTCGGAGGGTCAGCGCTGAGGGAGTGCCGCACTGTCGGAGGGTCAGTGCTGAGGGAACTCCGCACTGTCAGAGAGTCAGTACTGAGGGAGTATTATACTGTTAGAGGATCAAACTGAGGCAGTGTTGTAGTATCAATTTAGATCATCATGCTGTAGCAAACCCAAGGGGCTGAATGGCCTTACCTAACTGGAGTGGGCGATGTGTCTGGGTCGTATGCCTCTAGGTGCAGTAAGACATGGCCTGGCTGAGCGTCCTTGGGAACCATCACCTCATACTGGCTCTGAGGAAGGGTCGGAGCTTCATTGACATCTCGCACACTGATGAAGATGGTGGCAGTGGAACTCGGCCCATACTGAGCCCCAAGCAGCTCTGCCTCGTTTCTGACTGAGACGACCAGCCTGTGCTCATTCACTTCCTCATAGTCCAGAGCCTAAAGACACAGATTGGACACTGTTATCTCCCACAGTAACCTGGCTCCTCCCAATCCCTCAGCAGCCTTTCTCACTCTCCCCGTCTCTTCATCTTTCATTTCTCATGGGCAGTTCTCGTCATCAAAGAGAGTTTCTTAACTTTTTCAGGATCAGTGAGACAGGGAAACACGGGCTTGGAAATGGACAGTGAAGGCAGAGGGAAAGAGTTAGGGATAGAGCTAGAAATGGAGAGAGCTAAAGGGAGAGCAAGAAAAAGTGAAGATTGATGGAGATAGAGAGATGGTGAAAGACAGAAACAGACAGATGATAGACTGAGAGTGATAGAGTGATACACAGAGAGCTGGAAAAAGAAAGGCAGAGCCAGAGACATAAAAAGAAAATAGTGGTGGAGAGAATGAGATGGAGAGAGAAAGAGAGAGAACTGAAACCACACGGAAATCAACAGAGATATAGAGACAGAGGAACCATCAATGATTGGAAAAAAATGAAAAGGGACAGAGATTTAGGCAGACAGATGGAGAGAAGATAGACGATAAGAGAGAGACAGAGAGACAGGGACACGCAGAGAGTGATAGGGATATGAGGAGAGAGACAGGGACACAAGGACAGAGACAGGGGCTGAAGGAGAGAGACAGGAACACAAGGAGAGAGACAGGGACACAAGGACAGAGACAGGGACACAAGGAGAGACAGGGACATGAGGATAGTGACAGGGACACGAGGAGAGAGACAGAGACACGAGGAGAGAGACAGGGACATAAGGAGAGAGACAGGGACACGAGGAGAGAGACAGGGACACAAGGAGAGAGACAGGGACATGAGGAGAGAGACAGGGACATGAGAAGAGAGAGAGAGGGACATGTGGACAGAGACAGGGACAAAGTGGTAAGTGATGGGATATTTGATGAGAAGAGCGAAAGAGAAACAAAAGGAGGGATGAACAGGACAGTGACAGATGAGAGAAGAAATGACCAAAACAATGATGGAAAGAGGCAGAAAAAGAAAGATGGTGAGGAACAGACAGATACTGATAAAATGAGAAGAGAATACAGGAATGGAGAAGACACAATGGCAAACTGAGAGAGAGAGAGAGAGACAGACAGACAGAGAGAGAAAAACAGAGAGAGAGAGAGAGAGTGAGAAATGGGACAGAGAGGAAAACAGAGCCCACGAGGTGGTGAGAGTCAGATGGGGATAATGTGAGAAAGAATGATGGGGACAGAAGAAAGAGAAATGTACAAAGGAGGGACAAGTTGGGAGCAGAGAACAGAGGGAGAGAGATGGAGATGAAGTCAGAGACAAACTAAAAGAGAGAAGATGGTCAGATACTAGGCAGTAAATAGTCATGGACAGAAATTGAGACAGACATAGAGCAATGAAGTGAAAGAGTGTGAGAGCGCGATACAATTCCAGGTGCACCTTATATAATAAAAGGCTCCCAGTGTTACTGTGTTCATCTTGGGAAATTCCAAATCGGTGTTCGTCATTCCCAGCCTCAATGGTGTAAAGAACAAGCCAGCTGCTGGTGACTGGATAATCAGCGTCTGACACATTGATGGTGGTGATCACGTTCCCAATGTCAGTGTTCTCAGCCACAGTGAACGGACCGAACTATAACACAACAGTGGACAGGGATCAAGGAAACATTAAAGGAATATTTACCCAAATACTATACAATAGCTTACAATGATAGCCTGTCAGTGGCAGGGAGCTTTACTCTCTATCTGACCCGTGCTGTCCCCATCCTGGGAGTGTTTGATAGGGGATAGTGTAGAGGAAGCTTTACTCCGTATCTAACCCTGTTCTGTCCCCCGTCCTGAGAATATTTGATGGGGGTCAGTGTAAAGAGGGCTTTATTCTGTATCTAACCCCATGCTGTCCCTGTCTGGGGAGTGTTTGTAGACAAGTGTAGAGGGAGTGTTACTCTGTACCTAACCCCGTGCTGTCCCTGTCCTGGGAGTGTTTGACGGGGACAGTATCATGTGAGTTATGATCTGAGATGGCCTTTCCTAAGAATTCTACATGTAAGTGTTGGAACAATACCATGGAACAGCCCTCAGGTGGTGTACCTGTCTCTGAGGGAATACTGGCACATTGTCATTCACTTCCTCGACATCGACGGTCACTGTACAGGTACTTGACAATCCTGTCAGGAAAAGCGCAAAATAGACTCAAAGTCAGATTTATGATAAAACATTCAGTGTACACTAAATAACTGAGGCTCCCACTGGCAGTGTTAAGACCAGCTTTCAAATCAAACAGCTCATGTACGAGCGACACTCAGTTAGTGACATCAAACAGTTTTTATCAGAGAGCTGAGATTTCAAGTCACTCCCTGGGGGGCAGTAAACTTACTGACAATCCAAAAACTGCACTGGAATGTGGCATTCTTTTATGATATAATAAATCATTTTATCATTTAAAATTTTATTCATTAATGGGATGTGGGCTCACTGGCCCAACCACCTTTTATTGCCCCTCGCTAATTGCCCAGAGAGCAGTTAAGACTCAATTCCCTTGCTGTGGGTCTGGAGTCACATTTACAACAATCAACAATGTGCACCAAAAAATGTAACTTGCTTTTAATACTTCTTTTTATTGAAATCAAACGTCACGACCTGCTGTGGTGCCTATCCTCCATTCAGGGAATGTTACAGATTCTGTGAAATGATGTGAAATGACAGAATCAGTGTCTCTGACTGTCCTGGCCTACAGATTTTATCAATTTCAAAACCAGATTACCTGGTCATTAATTACAAAGAATGGACAGCACAGAAACATAGTGTTTGATGGGGACAAAGTAGAGGGAGCTTTACTCTGTACTTAACCGAGTGCTGTCCTGTTCAATGAGTGTTTGATGGGGAACAGTGTAAAGGGGTCTTTACTCTGTATCTAACTCCATGCTATCCCTATCCTGGGGAGTGTTTGATGGGGAACAGTGTAGAGGGAGCTTTACTCTGTATTTAACCCGATGCTGTCCCTGTCCTGGGAGTGTTTGATGGGGGACAGTGTAGAGGGAGCTTTACTCTGTATCTAACCCCATGCTGTCCCTGTACTGGGACGTTGTCCTATGATTCTTTGTTCAATGGGACATTTCTTATTTGTCTATTGTGAAGGAGATGAAGGGGAAATGTCTTCAGGTGAAATAGTTGTGGTAAATGTATTTAAGGAAAAGCCTGCACAGTTTTGGAAGGATCTCAGGTCTTGGAGATGCTGCAGAGGAGATTATTCCATTTGATCACAGTCTGTGAAGAGGCTGGAGAATTCATTGTTAAGAAAGGATTTAATAACTGTTGAAGACTATGAAGCTTTTGATGAAGTAGGTAAGGAGACTGAAATGATTGTTTCCTGATTGTGGCTGGAGGAGTCTCCATGTGGGGCATAAACACTAGAAAAGACCAGTTGGGCTGAATGGCCTGTCTGTGCTGTGTACTCAATACCACTCTGTGAAACATTTCAGATACAGTCGCTGTGTGTGCTTCCTCACCAGCAAGATCAGCCACCAGCACCTCCAGTTGGTACTTCAGTGATGTGTAGTTGGTCATGTCATTGGCCAGTGTCAAGGTCCCATTTGCACTGACTGTAAACAGCAGTTTGCCATCACTGCGAGGTTCCTGGCTATGGAGTTGGAAGTAAAGACGTGCATTGTCAGTCCTGGGATCATCCCGATCGGCCGCTGTCAGGGTGATTAGCTGTGAACCTGGAAAAGGAGTCAGCAATCCACAGTGTCATTGAATAAGATGGAATTGAAGCTGGCCATTCAGCCCATCGCCCCTGTATTCTCTTTTTAAAGGAGCTCTACAGTGAGGTCTACTCCCCAAGCTCTTTCCATTTTGTGCTACACATTTTTGCTTTTCAACTGTTTATCTAATTCCCTGTCAGTTTCTCGCTCTTACAGGCACTGTGCTCCACATCCCAATGGACCACCAGGTAAAAACATATTTATGCTTTATTTTCCTCTCATTCTTTTTAGAATTGTTGTAAACTCTGTCTTATGTCCTTCCGAGCAATAGAAACAATTTCTCCCTATTAATCCTGTCAAACCCCTTCAAAATCGTTGGCCTCAATTAAATCCCCCCTGAACAACACCACCAACTCGCCTCCCACTCCAAATTCCCCCAGCCCACTGGGGAGGTGATCAATCCCAGTTTCTGTAACTGAATGCTGTAAAAGGTCATGGTTCTGACAGGGTTAATGTTGGAGACTGCATGAAGCTCCACACAATCACATGATGTACTAGCTTAGGTGGGGAGGATGTTGTTTGGGATCTCATTGGAGTAAAGACCTATCTCCACATAGTCCCCTAACAGTCTCTGTAACAAAGTCTAATGAACTGATGGAGCTTGGACTCAACTAGTAACATATAATAAACTATATTTGAGCTGAATAGGCTGGGGCTATTTTCCCTGGAGTATCGGAGGTTGAGGGGTGACCTTATAGAGGTTTATAAAATTATGAGGGGCATGGATAGGGTAAATAGACAAGGTATTCTCCCTGGGATGGGGGAGTCCAAAACTAGAGGGGCATAGGTTTAAGGTGAGAGGGGAAATATTTAAAAGGGACATGAGGGGCAACTTTTTCACACAGAGGGTGGTGCGTGTATGGAATGAGCTGCCAGAGGAAGTGGTGGAGGCTGGTACAATGACAACATTTAAAAGGCATCTGAATGGGTACATGAATAGGAAGAGTTTAGAGGGATATGGGCCAAATGCTGACAAATGGGTCTAGATTAATTTAGAATATTTGGTCAGCATGGACGAGTTGGACTGAAGGGTCTGTTTCCATGCTGTACAGCTCTATGACTCTATTCTGTGAAGGTAAGTGCCTCTTCTCATGATGACTCATAGAGTCATTGGTCATAGAGTCATAAAACTGTACAGCATGGAAACAGACCCTTCGGTCCAACTCATCCATGCTGACCAGATATCCTAAATTAATCTAATCCCATTTGTCAGCATTTAGCCCACATCCCTCTAAACCCTTCCTATCCATGTACCTATCCAGATGCCTTTTAAATGTTGTCATTGTACCAGCCTCCACCACTTCCTCTGGCAGCTCATTCCATACACGCACCACCCTCTGTGTGAAAAAGTTGTCCCTCAGGTCCCTTTTAAATCTTTCTCCTCTCACCTTAAACCTGTGCCCCTCTAGTTTTGGACTCCCCTACCCTGGGGAAAAGACCTTGTCTGTTCACCCTATCCATGCCCCTCACGATTTTATAAACCTCTATAAGGTCACCCCTCAACCTCCGATACTCCAGGGAAAATAGCCCCAGCTTATTCAGCCTCTCCCTGTAGCTCAATCCCTCCAATCCTGGCAACATCCTTGTAAATCTTTTCTGAACACTTTATAGTTTCACAACATCCTTCCTATGGCAGCGAGACCAGAATTGTATGCAATATTCCAAAAGTGGCTGAGCCATTGTCCTGTATATCCACAACATGACCTTCCAACTCCTATACACAGTGTACTGACCAATAAAGGCAAGTGTACCAAACGCCTTCTTCAGCAGCCTGTGTACCTGCGACTCCACTTTGTAGGAACTATGAACCCGCACTCCAAGGTCTCTTTGTTCAGCAACACTCCCCAGGACCTTCCCATTAAAGTGCACAAGTCCTGTCCTGATTTGCCTTTCCAAAGTACAGCACCTCACATTTATCTAAACTCCCTCAAGGCTATTCTTGTGCCGTTATAAACCAGAGAGGCCCCTGTGACCCAGTTAAGGGGAAGATGGCAGTGCCATTCCAGCCAGAAATACCACATTGAACTCCCTCATCCTGGCTCCTATTCCATTGAATCTCCTCCATAGCACTTGTACTCGATGGAGGATAACGGAGGGATCTGATTGAAACATATAGAATACTGACAACTTGGATAGAGTGGAGGTGGAGGAGATATTTCTACAAGTAGGAGAGACTTGGACCCAAGGGCACAGCCTCAGTGTGAAGGGATGACCCTTTAGAACTGAGATGAGGAGGAATTTCTTCAGCCAGAGGTGAACCTATGGAACTCATTGCTGCAGAGGGCTGTGGAAGCCAAGTCATTGAGTGTCTTTAAGACAGAGGTAGATAGGCTCTTGATTAGTAAGAGGATCAGGGGTTACAGAGAAAAGGCAGGAAAATGGTGTTGAGAAAAATATCAGCCAGGATCGAATGACGGAGCAGACTCAATGGGCTCAATGGCCTAATTCTGCTCCTATATCTTCTGTTCAAAGGCCTTGTCATCCTTCCAAGAGTATGGTGTCCTGAATTGGTCACAATTATTCACTTGGGGCCTAAACCTATAAAGGTTTACCATCTCTCCCAGTTTAAGCTGATGTCTAACAAAGCTCAGTGTTTCCTCAACAATGATCTCTTTGTACTTATCAAAATATAACTGGGACTACCTTCAAAAAGTGTTAAATTGGCAGAAAGCACTTCAGGACATCCTGAGACCAAGAAAGTTGCTAGATTTCTTTCTTCAGGCTCTGGTTCCAAACAGTGGGGCCTCCTTTGAAAGCAGTGGAAAGGTTTCCCAGACTGATTCCTGGGATGGCAGGACTGATGTATGAAGATGAACTGGATTGGTTAGGATGATATTCACTGGAGTTTCAAAGAATGAGGAGGAATCTCATAGAAACCTGTAAAATTCTAACAGGACCACACAGGGTCAATGCAGCAAGGATGTATCCAATGATAAGGGGAGTCCAGAACCAGGGGGTCACAGTTTAACAATACAATAGGTCTTTTTGGACTGAGATGAGGAGAAATATCTTCACCCAGAGAGTGTGGAATTCTCTGCCACAGAAAGCCGTTGATGTCCAAACATTGAATATTTTCAAGAAGGGGTTAGATATAGTTCTTAGGGATAGAATGTTCTGCACTAAAGGTTCTGGGAGAAAGCAGGAACAGGGTATGGATGATCAGCCACGATCATATTGCATGGCAGAGCAGGCTCAACGGGCTGAATGGCCTACACCGGCACCTGGTTTCTAGGTCTCTATGCTTCTAAAAGACAAGGAGAAGAAATACTGAGCCAGGAACACTCTGAAACTCAATCATTTGCAGTGTCCTCTCCTGATCAGCTTCAGCAGGCACCACCATTCCCACTGTAACTCTGGGAAACAACCCAGAGGATAGACATGGTCATCTTCACCTCGAAGGACAGACAAGAAGATGTTCAGGTTCAGAACAGAAATGGAAGATTAATGGTCAATGTGAGGATGTCACATTCCCAACTCTCCCACTCACACATTTCTGAGGAAGGGTCACCGGACCCAAAACGTTAACTCTGTTTTTACCTTCACAGATGCTGCCAGACCTATTGAGCTTTTCCAGCAACTTCTGTTTTTGTCTCCCACTCACTCTCCTGGTACAGGGCCAATCTCAGCTGGGAGTTGGGCACTGTGTTTAGACTGTGATGATTAATGAGTAGACTATAGCAGCCAGTTCAGTGCTGTCTCACCCAATGTCCAAGCACCTACAGGAGGCATCACCTACGGTGCTATACGAATGTAAGTCTTTCCTATTCCTCTACATAAAAGCAAAATACTGTAAATGCTGTAGATCTGATATAAAAACAGAAAATGCTCAAGAAATTCGGCAGGTCTGACAACGTTTTTTAAATTTACTCATAGGATGTAGGCATCACTGGCAGTGCCAGCATTTATTGACCATCCCTAATTGCCCCCTTGAGAAGGTGGGGGTGAGCTGCCTTCCTGAACCGCTGCAGTCCATGTGCTGTGGGTTGACCCACAATGGCGTTAGGGAGGGAATTCCAGGATTGTGACCCAGTGACAGCGAAGGAACGGCGATATATTTCCAAGTCAGGATGGTGACTGGCTTGGAGGGGAACTTGCAGGGGGTGGTGTTCCCATGTATCTGCTGCCCTTGTTCTTCTAGATGGGACTGGTCGTGGGTTTGGAAGGTGCTGTCTGAGGATCTTTGGTGAATTTCTGCAGTGCATCTTGTAGATAGTACACACTGCTGCTACTGAGCGTCGGTGGTGGAGGGAGTGGATGCTTGTGAATGTGGCGCCAATCAAGCGGCTGCTTTGTCCTGGATGGTGTCAAGCTTCTTGAGTGTTGTTGGGGCTGCACCCATCCAGGCAAGTGGGGAGTATTCCATCACACTCCTGACTTGTGCCTTGTAGATTGTGGACAGGCTTTGGGGAGTCAGGAGTTGAGTTACTCACTGCAGAATTCCTAGTCTCTGACCTGCTCTTGTAGCCACTGTGTTAATGTGGTGAGTCCAGTTGAGTTTCTGGTCAATGGTAAACCCCAGGATGTTGATAGTGGGGGATTCAGTGATGGTAACACCATTGAATGTCAAGGGGCAGTGGTTAGATTGTCTCTTATTGGAGATGGTCATAACCTGGCATTTGTGTGGTGCGATTGTTACTTTTCTGTTGAGAGAGAAACAGAGTTAACATTTCAATTCTGATATGACTCCATCTTCTGAAAAGTTAACTGTGTTTCTCTCTTTCCACAGATGCTGCCAGGCCTGCTGAGTTTCCCCAGCATTCTCTGTGTTGATTTCTTTTCCAGCTCTCTGTCGTGTTACGTTAATCATCTGACACCATACCTTGAACCTGTTGCTCTCGGACAGTTGCCTGGTAACTCTCAGGAATACACACGGGCACGTTGTCGTTGTCATCTGTCACCAACACTCTCAACTCCAACGGCTCATCAAGGAGCTTTCCGTCAGAACCCTCTGCAGATATCAGCAGCACGTACTAAAGGAGAGGGTCAAAACTTTAAATGTCAGCAAGATTTCTTGTGCAAACACCATTATAAACCTCCCCGGGAAGTAATCCAGGTGTTTAATATCCACATTCCCTTCAATTCTCCAACAGCAATGACTTAGCTTCAATCCCCTCACCCAGACACTCAGCTCCTGAGGATATCAGCAACTGGTCAACCATGGAAGGTATCGCAGTCCAACTGCTCCCATCCTCAGGGTATGGCTAAGGTTTCTTCAGGAGGTGGCTATGGACAACTGGGAGTCACTGGATAGCATCGTAAGAGGCCATTCATGCAATCATACTCAGTCCCAAATTCCCTCTTTTGACCATAACTCTTTCATTTCAGCATCTCTGTCCAACTCACTTTTAAAATTATTTATTAGATCAGGTTCCACCAGCTTCCCAGAATGAACATTCTAAATCCTACCATCTCTCAGTGAAAATCTTTCTCCTCGGCTCCCTTTGAGATCTGTTGACAATATTGTTAAGTCCTTGACCTCTGGTTACTGATCCATTCATAGATTCATACAGCACAGAAAAGGCTCTTTGGCCCAACTTGTCTGCACTGACATAACCGCTATTAAGCATGCGCTCATCCCAATATCCTGCACTTGTCCAATATCCCTGAATATTATGGGATTTGAAGTGCTCAGCCAAATATTTTTGAAAGGTTGTAATGTTTTCGGTCTCCACGATCTTCCTAGGCAGCGCATTCTAGATTCTTGCACTGTCTGAGTGAAAATGTCTTTTTCCCAAATCCCCCTCTGAATCTCCGGCCCCTTCCCTGAAACTGTGCCCTCTTGTGATTGACTCCTCAACCAGTGGGAACAGTTGCTCTCTCTTCACCCTATCCAAGCCCCTCAAATCCTGTACACCTCAATCATGTCCCCCCTCAGTCTTCTCTGCTCTAAATAAAACAATCCAATCCTATCTAGTCTCTCCTCAGAGCTCAGTTTCTCCATCCCAGGCAACAGCTTGGTGAACCTCCTCCGGACCCTCCTCCAGTGCTATCGCTGTCAGAGGTAATCGGTTTTCCTCAGTCTCCTCTGTCAACACCTCTCTAAACCTTGGAAATCTCTATTTCCTGCTAGCCTTCTCTGTTCCTCTAACTATCCAACGTCTTCTCAGATTAGAGGTGCCAACTCACTCATTCCTCATTCGAAGAACTTTCCATTATTACTGAAGAGATGCTACCTACTCTTATCCACAGTACCCCAGGATAGAGATCAGGAGCAGATCATAGAATCCCTATAGAGTGCAAACAGGCCAATTGGCCCAACAAGTCCACACTGCCCCTCCAAAGAGCATCCCACCCAGACCCACCCCACTCCCCCCAATCACCCTGCATTTCCCATGCCTAATCTACCTAAACTACACATCCCTGAACACTATGGGACAATTTAGCATGGCCAATCCATCCTAATCTGCACAACTTTGGACTGTGGGAGGAAACTGGAGTACCTGGAGGAAACTGGAGTACCTGGAGGAAACCCATGCAGACACTGGAAGAATGTGCAAACTCCACACAGGCAGTCGCCCGAGGGTGGAATGGAACCCGGGTCTGTGGCGTTGTGAGGCACCAGTGCTAACCACTGAGCCACTGTGTTCTTAAGTTCTTTGCAGTTTAGAACATTGAGAGGTGACATTTTTTTGATTCATTCATGGGATGAGGATGTCGCTGGCCAGGCAGCATTTATTGTTCATCCCTGATCGCCCAAAGGGAAGTTCAGAGTCAACCACATTGCTGTGGGTCTGGAGTCACATGTAGGCCAGACCAGGTAAGGATGGCAGTTTCCTTCCCAAAAGGACATTAGTGAACCAGATGGACTATTTTTTCCTGACAATCAACAATGGTTTCATGATCATCAATGGACTTTAAATTTTTATGTAATCCAAATTCCACCATCTTCTGTGGTGGGACTTGAACCAAGGTTCCTGAGTCTCTGGATTAATAGTCTAGCGATAATACCATGAGGCCATTGCCTCCCTTTCTTATTGAAACATATAAAATTTTCAAGGGATACGGTCAAGTGGGCCCCTGGAGGATGTTTCCTCTCATGGGGGGAGACTCAAACTGGGGACTAAAACTCAGGGAATATAGGTTAAGAATAAGAAATCCTCATTCTAAGGCAGATTGAGGAGAGTTGTTGTTTCTCGTGGGATTGTTGAATTTTGTTACCCAGTAGGTATTGAATGTTTGCTCTTTAAATTTATTCACGGCTGAGTGAGACAGATGTTTGATTAACGAGAGAGTTGAGGGTTATGAGGGGTGGTGGGAGGGGATTGGGGGTGGGGGCCTGAGGCAGGATAGAGGAACTGAGGCTACAACCACATCAGCAGGTGGGAGGGGAGTAAGTTGAAAGGCGATATATGGAGCAAGTTTTTTACACAGAGAGTAGTAGGAGTGTGGAACGTGCTGCCAGGGGTGGTGGTGGGGCAGATATGATAGGGGCACTTAAGGGACTTTTAAATAAACACATAAATATGCAAGGAATGGAGAGATGTGGATCAAGAGCAGGCAGAAGGGATTAGTTTAATTTGGCATCATGTTCAGCGCAACATTGTGGGCCGAAGGGCCCATTCCTGTGCTGTACCGTTCTATGTTCTAAATGTTGGATTGGATTACACTCCTAGATCAAACTCAATTTAACACGCGTATTGTTAGACACATTGGCTCAGGTACAGAAAGTGTGATGGTGAGAAACACAGAAAGAGCTGGAAGAAACTCAGCAGGTGTGGCCAATATCTGTGGACAGAGAGAGAGAGAAACAAAGTTAACTTTTCAAGCCCAGTGTAACTTTTCTTCAGAGTTCTCGAGTTTTGAAGTCATACCAGACTTGAAAACGTTAACTCTGTTTCTCTCTCTACAGAGGCTGCCAGACCTGCTGAGTTTCTCCAGCATTATCCGTGTTTGTTTCAGATTCCCAGTATCCACAGTGCCTCGCTTTTATTTGGGTTATAATGAATAGCCTTGTCTTTCTCAGACTGAAGCAAAGTCTACATTTGGGTTCCACAGGGAGCAATGCTGCAATCCATACTCCTTTTGAGATGTATTAATGACCTGCTCTGAGATTAACAAAGCATCATTTGAAAAATGACAGACAACACAAATTGTAAATGTGGCAGTGCATAGTAATGTGGATAGTGACAGAATTCAGGGAGATAGAATAAAAACAGAAGTTGCTGGAAAAGCTCAGCGCGTCTGGCAGCATCAGAACTGAGGATGGATCACCGAATTCGAAACGTTAACTCTGATTTTCCCATCACAGATGCTGCCAGACCTGCTGAGCTTCTCTAGCAACTTCTGTTTATGTTCCTAACTTACAGCATCCACAGTTCTTTCGGTTTTTATTCGGGGAGATGGAGACAGAGAAATAGATGCATAGCAGCTGAAATGTAATGCAGAAATTTGTAGAGGTGATTTAGTTTCGCAAGAACTTGAGAGAAGATGTTAAGGACTTGGAGGGGGAGTTGGGGAGATTTACTGGAATGCATCAGGGATGCAGGACTTCAGTGATGGGGAGAGACTGGTGAAGGTGAGATTGGTCACCTCACAGAGAATCTTATCATCGAGTAGGAATCAGCAGAGATACCCGAGAATAAATCAAACTAGGGAACAGATGTAAATTGAGGGGATAATTGAGTGACAGTCGACTGGATGTAGATATTTTAATTAAAACATTTTGAAAATCCATGTTTGGAGAAGGTGGGACTTCAGCCCAAATTTCCTGGCCTGAGAGGCAGGAGTTCTATCACTGCATGCTGGGAGATCTGCTGGCTTCATCAAGACATATGGGGAATCAAATTGAAAAATCCATGCCTGCAATCCGTCTGTTTAACCTTTAACATTGGATGTTTGACAGAGACAGTCAGGGCAAGATCTAATCATGATGTCCAGAATCCCAGGCCAGGCAGATCAAATAGTTTGGGTTAAATTGTTTCCACTGGCAGCTGGGTCCCTAATGAGAGGACACAGATGTATTGGAATTTTTGTGAGTTCTGGTGATTTGGAACACATTGCCTCACAAGGAGGTACAAACTGATAGTTTAGAGACAGGGCTGTGGGGAAAGAGCTGGAGAACAGGGCTATCAAAGGAACAGCAGAGGCAAAATGGACCAAATGGCCTCGTTCTGTGCTCTAGGATCTGATGATTCTATAGTTTACCTCTGCTTCTTGTTCCCGGTCCAGTGGTTGAGTTAAATAGATCTGACCTTCTCTGTCAATGAGGAAAAGTCCTTCAGGAGAGGGTGGTTTGGCCTCCAGCCTGTAATTCACTCCATCGTTGTTCCATTGAACCTAAAAGTACCACAATTCGAAATGAGAGCAGGAATCAGCCAGCCATTGGGAAGTTTCAGCCAAAGCAAAAGTGCAGCCTTTCATCTTTCATTCATGAAACGGTCGCCTGGTTACACTCAGGAAAACTCACAGGTGCACTGTGACACAGGGCAGGTTGTGACACGGTCACTCACGTTCTCAGCTTCCAGTCAGAGGGTGAGCCATTCCGTAAAACCGGACACAAAATCGAACCTTTCACTCCCCTTACCAAGGGAGTGCCATACTGTCAGCAACGCTCTCTTTCAGATGAGACAACAAACCAAACCCTTCTTGTTCTTCCGTACAAACATAGATCCCGGGATGGCGGGAAAACACAATGGCGCTTCATCGGAGGCTGTACTGATGATGTTACCCAGCAGGGTAACGAAACGTCTGCAGAAAAACAACGAACCAGCTCGGCGAGCCAACCAACCATAACACCCACAACCCGAGTTACAAATCCACTCCAAAACCTTAGAGATCCCATTGGTGTATACCAGGAATTCACTCATTTTTCCAATCTTGTCTATTGTATCTTACTTCTGTTTCACTTCGGATCTTTAAAAAAACCTGAACTGAATTCTTACTTTGTAAAGTTTGGATGAAACCCAGGAGTGATTCTTCTTTAGGTCAAATTAATCAATAATGTGATCAGTAGCCATAGAGTCATGGAGTAATACAGCAATGAAACAGGCCCTTTGGCCCAAACTGGACCATGTTGACCTTGGTGCCCACTCAACTAGTTCCAATTGCCTGCAGTTGGTTCATGTTTTCTAGTCATGGATTTTGGCCCTGTCCAAGGATATCACAATCCACTTGTTGTTTTGATGTGATAATGTCTTCCCTCTAGATTTCACCCCCATGTTGTTTTAAAAAGAGAAAGTGCCCTTCATGAATTGACCTTGATGACTCTTGGACTACAGCCAGGACAATGAAGAGGAGATGGTCAGTGAGACGGAGTTGGGTCGATGGACAGTTTCCATTTGAGAGACACCATTATGGATGGGTCAATAACCTGAGTTTTACAGAGCATGCAAATTTTGATAAATCTGTGAGAGATTAGACACATGCTTTGTTCAGACCTTCAGTAAGGAGTGGATTTCCTGGTTCAATCCGAGTGTTCCCCAACCATAAAACTTGGATGAACCAAATGCCTTCTTCACTATCCTGTCGACCTGGGACTCCATTTTCAAGGAGCTATGAACCTGTACTCCAAGGTCTCTATGTTCAGCAACCTCCCCAGGACCTTCCCATTATGTGTATAAGTCCTGCCCTGATTTGCCTTTCCAAAATGCAGCACCTCACATTTACCTAAAATTAAACTCCATCTTCCACTCTTTGGCCCATTGGCCCATCTGATCAAGGTCCCATTGTACCCTGAGGTAACCCTCTTCGCTGACCACTACACCTCCAATTTTGGTGTCATCTGCAAACTTACTCACCATACCTCCAATGTTCATATCCAAATCATTTATATAAATGACAAAAAGCAGTGGATCCAGCACTGTTCCTTGTGGCACACCGCTGGTAACAGACTTCCAGTCTGAAAAGCAACCTTCCACCACCACCTTCTGTCTTTTACCTTCGAGCCAGTTCTGTATCCAAACGGATGGTTCTCCCTGTACTCCATGTGATCTAACCTTGCTAATCAGTCTATCATGCAGAACCTTGTTGAACACCTTACTGAAGTCCACATAGACAATGCCCATCGCTCTGCCTTCATCAATCCTCTTCGTTACTTCTTCAATAAACCCAATCAAGTTAGTGAGACATGATTTCCCATACACAAAGCCATGATGACTATCCCTAATCAGTCCTCGCCTTTCTAAATACATGTAAATCCTGTCCCTCAGGATTCCTCCAACAACTTGCCCACTACCAATGTCAGGGTCACCGGTCTATAGTTCCCTGGTTTTTCCTTATCACCTTTCTTAAATAGTGGCACCACATTAGCCAACCTCCAGTCTTCTGACACCTCACCTGTGGCTGTAGATAGTACAAATATCTCAGCAAGGGGCCCAGCAATCTCTTCCCTAGCTTCCCACTGATTGGTAACGCAGGTAAGAGAACTGGCTGCAGGCTATTGTCTTAGCTGAAGAGTCTGGGAGGATCCCCAAGTGTTTATCAAACATTAATAGCAGAGGCAGAGAGGTGAGCCTGTCACTGGAACCACCTTTATCTTCAGTTCCACAACAGCAAACCATCTAATGGTGAATTCCCATCACTGCTTGATGCTTCCCTCATCATAGCACTGAATATTTATACCATCACTGTCTAAGAACAGAAACATTTTATTGAATTTGCAGTCCAGAATTAACTCAGCATCTCCCCTTACCTCTGTGTGCATCTATATTTAAACACAATTCAATATCTCTTCAGGTTTGGTTTCAGTAAATGATGGGAGAGAAATGATGACTGGAAAAATAACATCTTCACTGCACTTTTTGGAGTTCAGTTTCCACCAGTACATTCGCCCTGCCCCCACCCCACCACCACCCCCTCTCTCTCCTCTCTCATTCCGACCCTCTCTCTTCTATTCCCCTCTGCCCTCCACCCTCACTACCCCTCCCCTCAGCTCTCACCCTCACTGCCCTTCCCCTCTACCCTTCCCCTCACTACCCCCCCCTGCCCATCTCTCCCCCTACACCCTTCAGCCTGGTTGTTTGAATTCACACATCACGAACCCCCCGCCACTCCTCCTGACCTCAGGTTTCCACAAGCAGCCCCTGTCCCTGTGGGGCGTGTAAGCATGTAATCCAGTGTCTATAGAGGTCACTGGAAGATGCTGTTCTTTGCTAAATCACCAAATCTTCCCCTTTCTCTCTCTACTCCCCCCCACCCCCCACCTCTCTCTCTCTCTGTCCCAATCCTTCTGCAGAAATTGCTTGCCTTTAATCAATTTTAATTTGTGGTTTGTAGATTTTTGCCAGAGAAGCTTCCTAGTTTCAGAATCAATGGAGATTGATGGCATTAAAATGCAGATCAGACACAGTCACATTGATTGGTGGAACTGATTTGAGGGGCTGAATGGCCACCTCCTGCTCCACCCCACATATAACTTTTTTTATTTATTCATTTGTGGGATGTGGGCGTCGCTGGCTGGGACCAGCATTTCTTGCCCATCCCTAGTTGCCCCTTGAGAAGGCAGTGGTGAGCTGCCTTTTTGAATCGCTGCATTCCTCCTGCTGTGTGTTGACCCACAATGCCATTAGGGAGGGAATTCCAGGATTTTGACCCAGCGACAGTGAAGGAACGATGATGTATTTCCAAGTCAGGATGGTGAGTGACTTGGGGGGGAACTTGAAAGTGATGGTGTTCCCATGTATCTGCTGCCCTTGTCCTTCTAGATGGAAGTGGTCGTGGGTTTGGAAGGTGCTGTCTGAGGATCTTTGGTGAATTTCTGCAGTGCATCTTGTAGATAGTACACACTGCTGCTACTGAGGGTCAGTGGTAGAGGGAGTGGATGCTTGTGGATGTAATGCCAATCAAGCGGGCTGCTTTCCCCTGGATGGTGTCAAGCTTCTTGAGTGTTATTGGGGCTGTAGTCATCCAGGCAAGTGGGGAGTATTCCATCACACTCCTGACCTGTGCCTTGTAGATCGTGGACAGGCTTTGGGGAGTCAGGAGGTGAGTTACTCACTGCTGGATGCCCAGCTTCTGGCCTGCTCTTGTAGTGACTGTGTTTATGTGGTGAGTCCAGTTGAGTTTCTGACCAATGGTAACCCCCAGGATGTTGATAGGGGGGTTTCAGTGATGGTAGCACCGTTGAATGTCAAGGGGCAGAGGTTAGATTGTCTCTTATTGGTGATGGTCATAACCTGGCATTTGTGTGGCACGAATGTCATTTGCCATTTGTCAGCTCAAGCCTGGATATTGTCCAGATCTTGTTGCATGTGAACATGGACTGCTTCAGTATCTAAGGAGTCACAAATAGTCCTGAACATTGTGCAATCATCGGCGAACATTCCCACTTCTGACCTTATGATGGAGGGAAGGTCATTGATGAAGCAGCTGAACATAGTTGAGCCTAGGACTCTACCCTCTGGTACTCCTGCAGAGTTGCCCTGGAGCTGAGATGATTGACCTCCAATAACCACAACCATCTTCCTATGTGTCAGATATGACTCCAACCACCAGAGAGTTTGTCCCCCAATACCCATTGATTTCAGCTTTGCCAGGGCTCCTTGATGCCACACCCGGTCAAATGTTGCCTTGATGTCAAGGGCTGTCACATCTGCTTCAATTTCCTTCCTTTATATTTTTCTAAGTTCTCTCGTGACTTCATTCTCACTGGTATCCACCGGGACTGAGTAAAAATCTCTCTCAGCCCCGAGTTTGCACTCAAGCCCCTTGAAATAACTCCCCAGAGGCCGGTATTCCATCACTAAGTCCCCCTTTATTTACACGTAGAGAGCCCTTGACACTGATCCAGCTCGCTCAGAGCCAGCTCTCAGAGTGAACAGGATGACTGACACTCCTGTTTATAGCTGTCAGCCAGGGCTCCCTGATTGGACCAGATTAACAGCCCCAATCAGGGAACTCATTCTCTACGTGCACACCCAAAACATTAACTCTGATTTCTCCCTGCAGATGCTGGCAGATCCACTGAGCTTTTCCAACATTTTCTGTTTCATTTCTAATTTCCAGCATTCACAGTTCCCACAGTTTCTATTCATGTTCTATGAGGACCACCCGGCTGACCATACTACAGTCACTATATCCCTGGCCAGCATTGTCAGTGCAAGAGGCCAGGCTGACACCTCAGGACAGCACTAAGGGAGTGCCTCAATGTCAGAGGGAGTGCCTCAATGTCAGAGGGTCAGTATTGAGGGAGCGCCACACTGTCGGAGGGTCAGTGCTGAGGGAGCGCCGCACTGTCGGAGGATCAGTACTGAGGGAGCGCCACACTGTCGGAGGGTCAGTGCTGAGGGAGCGCCGCACTGTCGGAGGGTCAGTGCTGAGGGAGTGCCGCACTGTCGGA